ACTTCTGAAATGATTTTTGTAGAAACTAAGACTTTTTGGTACAAACTGTCACTTTTCCTTTGCATCTCCAAGTTAAAACAAAAATAATCTTATCTACTTTAAATTCATGCTTTGTGACATAAAATCACAAAGATAAACTTTAAATGGAAATCAATGAATAACACAATTTGCTTTGACTATTAGGAACACACAGAGTCCAATTAAGTTAAAAACGGCAGATGGCCTAGGACATCTCTATTTTTTAAAAGCTCCTCACAAGATTCTGGTTTCTACTCATGGAATTATTCCCCCCACGAATCCCCCAAATCCTCTCTTCTAACTGTTGAGAACCACTGCTAAATATTACTGTGCAACACAGGCATTTCCTACCATGTCTTTTTTCTCCCTCTACTGTCCTAAGAAAAGTCAAATAAACAAAATCATACCCAAAAATCATCTTAATAATCTAAGTTTCGCAATCTTAAATTGTAAGCAAGTTTCAAGCCCCAAAACTCTCTCACTGGTATTCAGTTATCTAACAAGCTACACTAACATTACAGTAACAGTCATACTATTTCAGGCCATTTACTGTTTATTTTCCAAGCTCTCAATAAATCATAACTACTCCCCAGAAAGGGTTAATATTGCTCTTGATTTCTCTTGGTATTTTTGGGGAGAAAAAACAAAACAGGAAATGATAACCAAATTATCAAATCGACTCAAAGCAAAACATTTCCAGGTTGTTCAGCAGCTTTAGCCTACCTGATGAGCAGATCACACAAGAGATCAGTGTATGTTTCCAAATCAGGAATTGCCACTGATTCAACTGTGCTTCTACATAATTCAATTAACAGTTCTATGTGATTTACATAAAAGGACTGGGTACACAATAGAGAGAATTTTTGAGTATATATAAGCTTTCTGCTCTTGAAAATAGTGACTTAGTAACAAATCTACAGAGAATACTTTCAGTGCATAAAAGTGTCCAGAATATTTCACTGATGTTTAAACTTCATGGTAGTACTTATGACGAAAGTTTAAAAGGGAGAAAATAAGATGGGTCATAAGCCTACAACTAACAAAAAGATAAAAATATTTGAGGTTTAAAAATAGGGCCCCTTGTCAAACAACTCTCAGTGCTCTTTCATTTGATTGTGTTTTTTGCATATTAGAACAAACAAGTAGTTAAAGGTGAGATTTAGGCAATTGGAGATTCTTAAAATATATAGATATGATTTCCTGAAAAGGGAACTCTTGAAGACAGGGGTCTACTGAGCATGAAATGATCAAACTAGCCTACGCTGTTGGTTTCCACAAGCTGACTAAATTAGGGTGCCTTTACTTCTACTCTCTTCTACGTATAATTTTTTCTCTACCAGCTAGTTTCTCTCAGGATAGCAAAATGGCAATAGCAGTCGCAGGCCTATCTCACACATGCAGAGCACACCCCTTTGGGAGAGCATCTTCTCACCCATTCTTCAACAAATCCTAGGCTTCATTGTCCTTGGATCAAGCTAGGTTTCTCTGTTCAACTCAGAACCATATTACTTTGTTTAAAGCAATGGTTCCCAACCCAGGGAATCTGACACCCTTTTACTATGTTGAAATAAAATTCCTAGATAATACCTACCTACCTAACACACACACACACATAATTTTAAGAAAAACAAAATAAAACCCTAATTATAATATAAGGGAGAATAAAACATAATAAAATACATATTGTTATATATAAATGCTCAGGAATGGCTACGGTAGAATACATAAAGAGATGAATGTGACTGCTACAAGTGAAAACTGACCCTGATGGGTTGTAATGTCACTTCAAATACCACTTCAATGATGTAATTTTCCAAAACGGTGAACAGCTCTTGGAAATAGTCCAAATAAAACAATCATCTTTCCTTGATTTACAAGGTAGTTCCTAGAAAATTCACTGCACTGTACACAAAAATACTTTGTGCTTATATATACAAAACAGAGTTATGTTCTAGGATCAGATAATATCTGACGGGATACTGGAAAGTCATACGGGATAAGCAACAATTCTTCCTGGTCCCTGCCCATCAAATATTTGTAGTATCTCCCAAAATGTGAAAAAGCACTCGTACAAATGATTGAAATGTTCCCCAAGGGGGTGGTACCTACCTTATTGAGAGCCACTGGGTTACAGGGATGAGACTAAGTCAGCCAGGCTCACTGGAACCTTGATTACTCTATACAATGGGGGGAGGGTGGATGGAGGGTGGAGAGGCAGCAATATCTGCCACTTCTAACTTCCTCATTCATAAATTAAAAGAATTTCAAGAGCTCCCGCAGATAAAAGGCTTTATTTATATTGAAGAAACTTTTATTAGTAAAGTCCACCATATTTGTTCAAGTTCAAAGCACGTTAAAATTGAGATGGCTAGGAAGGTGATTAGCTGAACTAAAATGTATCAGGTTTTTAATTAACACTTTAATCCATCTGGTAGAAATGCTAGGTTTTAGGAAAAGGCAAAGACATCACAGATTAAATATGCACTAAATTTAAAATCCCCAATAACTTCTTTGGCTTAAACAGGAATCATTTCTGCACATTCACTTACTTTTTGGTTGACAATGGAAATCATCATAGTAAAAAAAAATTCTGAAGAAATAAAGCATGCTGAAGGACAGAACATACGAACCCTAATTTTTCTTTTTGTCTAATCCACTGTTTCTCAAGGTTTAACTCTATAAGAAAACCAATGGTACTATGAATTAAAAGGCTTGCACCTCTTTACACGGCCTCTCAGTGGACTAAAAGTCTCTTGAGCAAAGACCCATATGGAGACAGGGAGGTTATCACAGTTATTTTTCTTATAAGAACCTGTCACCTGAAGAACTTTTTAAGTGAAACAAAGCTCCTTGTGTTTTAGATTCCTAATTATGGAATAATGTTCTACACTTAAAATTTCTTCATTCTAGAAAGAGTATCACTGATAACTACTAAAAAGCAGTTACCTAGCAACCTACCTATCTCTGCAGATAGCAATATAAAGAAAACGTGAAACACAACTGACCTCATTCAGTCATTCTTATTCTCTTCCCTCAGTTCAGTCCTAGAAAACAAACAGTTTGGACAACCAAACTACTAGGACGCTGCTAAGTCTCATGTCATTGCAACTGCAAACATTTTTTATTTGGTGAGGTAATACCCTCAGCAGGAAAGCGAGGATTCTAAAAGGTAGCTTATGTTCCATAACTCAGTTTTGCAGACTCATTATTAAATATTTAATGGGATTTGGATATAAAATGGAATTTCAATATTAAAAAAATAAACTCAAAGCTAATATTATTTCTTTACAGCTGTAAAATCTGCTCTCTCATGTTCTAAAAACAGAAAGATAGCAAAGGGAAGAATGTTGTTAAGGCTAAGGAAAGAGGGAGTGTTGCCAAAGCAAACTCCATTAACAGCGGTGACGCCCAAGTAAACTGTCAAAGACACTACTGACAGCAACCGCATAGGCTGACACATCAGTGCATAGATCAGCAAGGCCCAACTCACCAACTAATTTGCACCTGAAGAATTTACTTGTTATTTTGGTGGAGAAAGAGCACTACAACAGAGTTCATATCTAAAAGTCAATACCACTTAAAACAAATATAAATTAAATAAGCCCTGTCACCATCCACAGATTTGTTTACTAAAATCTTAGGCAAAAAATAATCTATAACTCTCACATTCATATCCGTTTTCAGAGGGAGGGGAAGGGAAGGAGACAACTATTAGATATATTCACAAGTTATCTTTCTTTTTGATTAGGAAGATTGGCCCTGAGCTGACATATGTGCCAATCTTCCTCTATTTTTTTATGTGGGATGCAGCCACAGCGTGGCTTGACAAGCGATGTGTAGGTTCGTGCCTGGGATCCAAACCTGCGAACCCCAGGCTGCCAAAGCAGAGCACGGGAACTTAACCACTATACTACCAGGTGGGGCCCCACAAGTTACCTTTTAAAATTAAGACATTCCAATTTTGCAACAAATGTAGAAAGGTATATACTGGGGGGGGGTGGGAGGGGGGCAGAGAAAAGCTTGGTTTATTGTAAACTTAGGTGAACTTACGTATTAAATTGGCAATGAATGAGGAATATACACAGTCTGCTATCAAACATTTACAATTCATATACAAGTTACACTTGGCTTCACTTATTGGGCTCCATGATAATGGTCTAAAATGCTTCTAGATTGAACCTAAATTTTTCTAGATCTTTAGAGGGCTGAAGGGACACTGGTCCACTGCTTTCAAAATGCAAGGGGAAATAAATGTTAATATGTTTAGTTTCCATTTAAACTTTCTATTCAACAGTTCTTAAATTTTTTAACCCCCTGCTTTTCTAAAAGGATTAAGACAATTGCCTTTTTTATATTAAAATCCAAAATAAAGCTTTTACAAAAGATCTAAATGAGATTTCTACATGCAAACTAAAACTCTGAAGATCACAATACTGCTATTGCCAGCTAAAGACTTCACAGTTATTCTAAGTAGATAAAACATATTCTCCCTTCTTTTAAAGATGAAAATAAAACGGCTATATCAGTTTTCTATTATAAAAAAAGCTGTGAACTTGGTAACAAGTGTTTAATAGTCTCTTAATACCATGTTTAGTCTTTATATCTTACTTGCCTATGTATGACGTGCTATTTTCCAAAAAAGGAAAAAAACAGATCCAATGAGAGAAAGAATGTTTAATAAATGGTGTTGAAACAAATAGCTATCTGTTTTGAATAAAAATAAAATTAGATCCTTATACCTTGCACCATATAGAAAAATACATATATTACTGATGGATTCAAGAGTAAAAAATAAAAATGCAAGTACCAAAAATTCTACATACAATTTTAGGGGGTTCAGACTCCCTAAAGCCCATCCATGGATCTCAGATTATCTAGAAGAGGAAGTGTTAATAATAACTTCTATTAAAATCTCAATGCCAAATATCAGACATGTTTCCAAGATCAAGTCACATGCAACAAATGAAGATGAACACATTAACTCATTGTTGTAACTTTATAAAATCTCCAAACTAGAACTAGAAACAGAGGCACATCAATACAAATGGACAATGACTTCAAAAAAAACACACCAATTTAAATAAGTTTGAGTGCATACTGTACAACTGTATCTATATGCCTGTTAGCCTTTCAGAAATATAAAATCAGCTAAATCTGTAATACTTAAAATTTATTATGTGCAATGTTATTCTCAAACTTGATTAAAATACTTAATAAATACAAGTTATGTTTAATATGAATAACTGCAACATACTTAAAGATCTAAACATATAATAAGAATTCTATAATATTAAAATGCAATACTTTCACTGCATTCATCTCATACACAATGGAAAAATACTTGCAGATAATTAGCATTAAGAATGCAAATATATTTTCACTGTGGAAGAAAAATAATAAGATTAGAAATAATATATTTGCGTAATCTACAAGGAGGCTGTAGATAGTCTACATTATGATATTCTATTTTAAAATGAAAACAATTCAATATTTAATTTTACAACAGATTTACTCAAGGCAAAATACTTGTTTATTACAGAACAGGACCTTAAATCAAAGTATGCAAGGCAACCTTAGATCAACCATTTTAAATTTTTTTTAATGAAGTGTAGCTTTAAAACTGTAATAAAGGTGAACATAAATTCTAACATGCTCTTCTCTTCTTATAAATGGGATGATGTAGAAAAGCAAAGCTTCAATGTATAGGGATTGGAACCATCTGTAAAAAATTTAAAAACAAAGTTAATAATCCACTTCATCAAACTTTCAAGAATACCTTGAATTAGCAGAGTAAATTCTTTCACCTTTTTATAGTGTTAGAAGCAGAAATATAAAGAAGGAAAATTCTACGTAAGATAAGGGAAAGATTCCTTTTGTTCATATCTACTAGCAGGTAAGCTCCACAAAGGCCATCACTACTTTCCTACTGTTCTAAATATGACCTGACACATACAAGGCATTCAGTATTTTTTTAGTGAATTAATCGATCGTTACAAATAAATAGTATCAGGATTAGGCCTATGTCCATCTGCAAAGCTCACTTAGCAGAAAATATTATCACAGGGTAATTCCTCTATAAAAGCCAATTCAAATACAGTTTGGGAACTGAGATAAGACTGGAATGTACAGGAAGATATTACTGAGCTGAAAAAGTTCTGGGAGATCTAGTACTAAATCTCTGATCATTAATAGGGCATATAAATTCTAAAATTACTCAATAAAAAATTGGGTATAATCCACAAAAGTACTTCCATTTTATACATTTTTCTTTAACTTTTCAGACAGAGCAGAGATAATTCTTCATCAACTGATTATGCAAAGGAACAATTCTGGTATCTTAATGTACCAGAATTTTAGTATTAAAAGCTATAGCTCCTTAACGTAAAAAAATTCCTATAAAGGAAAAAAAGCATATACACCAACAAGTATTTGCAAGACACTGCATAGGATAAAAAGAAAAATAACTGTACCTGCCTCCAAGGAGTTTACAATTCATATACTATCTTGAATATATCTCAAATATGCATCTAATTTTAAACTCTTTTAAAACTTTCTATCAAAAACTAAGCCTGGCTCACTACTTAAAATTTACTTTTGTGACTAAAAGTAAAATGAAAGGAGGTATTCCTATTTATTTATTTTTTAACTTTTTATTAAGAAAATTTTCAGACATAAAAACTATATAGATTAGTATAATGAACCCCCACATATATATCACCTAGCTTTAATAATTGTCAACATCTGGCAGTCTTATTTCCTCTATCTGCCCTCCACACATTCTTTGGGGCTGGAATATTTTAAAGCAAAGCCTAGATGTGTTATTCCACCCATAAATCCTTCAGTGCACATTTTTCTTTGTTTTCTTTAATTATCATTTGTAATCACACCTAATAAAATAACAATTTTTTCCTATTATTTAGAAAAAAAGTTTTAACACCCTTTAGATCCAAGATCAAAGTAAATACACAGCACAAAGCTTTGAAAGTTGAGCACTTGAGCATTCTTTGCATGGTAAAAAAGAAGCCATTTACGGTTATGGAAAGAATAAACAAAGTGACAATTTCATTTGACAGAAATTAAAACAATGAAATACCATTTTTCATCTATCACACCGCTAAAAATTAAAAGTATGACAACACTCAGTGTTGCTAAAAGTATTGGGCAATGGGCATTTCCATACACCACAGACAGTAATGTAAACTTGTGCAAACTTTCTAAAAGGCAATCTAGCAACATTTACCAAAATACAAACTTTTATGCCCTCCACTACTAGGAAATTGCCCTACAAATACAAAAGTGCAACTATAAGGATATTTGTTACAGTAAGAGAAAAAGATAACTGGAAACAACCAGTGTTCATCAGTGGGAAAATGCGTAAATCAAATAAACTGTGGTACATCGCTACTATGAATAGCTACTCTGCAAATGCTTTAAAAAAAAAAAAAAACAGGTATTTTGCATGTGCTGATAAAGAAATAGCTCCAAGATATATAAGTGAAAAGAACAAGGGACAGAGTAGTATGTATAGAACAACAACGTAAGTTTTTAAAATGTAGCTATATATACACTGGAGAGGAGGAATAAGAGGAGGAGACAAAAAGGTTAGAATTTATAGAAGGCATTAACTTTCATTTTGTACTTTCATGTACTATTTGAGTTTTTTAACCATATATATGTATTGCTTTATTCTAAAAAGATCAGTATGGATTGTGGAAGCCAGCCTCTAAGATGGCCCCAATGATCCCTACCCTCCTGGTATTCACAGTCCTGTACAGCCCCCTCCCACATCTGTGTGACCAGAAGAACACAGCATAAGTGATGTATGGCACTTCTACCACTAGGTTATAAAAGACATTGTGCTTTCTGTTGTCGTCTTTTGCTTTCATCTCTCTCGGATCCCTCACTGAAGGAAGTCAGCTACCTTGAAATGGCCAATGTGGCTTGACAGGGCCTGCAAACAACCATATGAGTGAGCTCAGAAGTGGATTTTCCAGCCCCTAGTGAAGACTTGAAATGACCACAGACCTGGACAACAGCCTAACTGTAATCTCATGGACCCTGAACTAGAACTACCTAGCTAAAATGTACACAGATTACTGACCCTTAGAAACAGTAAGACAATAAATATTTGCTGTTTTAAGCTGCTAAATGTTGTGATAATGTTACACAGCAATAGATAACTAATACAAGGGTTACGTGGATTGTGGGATTTACATGCCTTTTTTTCCCTCATATTGCCCTGTAAGAAAAACTAATAAATGTTGTTTTAAATTCGTTGTCAATGTTTCTGACAGTTAACTCCCCTTGAATAATTACAACATCATTTTACTTACTTGGAACTCTTATCTGGTAGTGATTAAGTGCTGTAAGGGCTTCTACTGCATCAGTTTTGCATTCCCATTCTAACAGCCCAGAAAGCGTTTTGGCAGAAGCTAAAACAAAACAAAGAAACACAAATCCAGTATTGGCTTTTCATCAACTTAACCAGAAAACTTAAGCAGAGGGAATGTGCACTTACGTTTTGCATCAAACACTTTATATTTGATGAATGTAAGAACTTCATGGTCATTACACAACTGTCAAAGAAATGTAAAACTCCATTAAAAATACAGCCAGAATAATATTCCTACCTTTTTTAGAAAGTAAACTTTAGGGCAGCATTTAAGTTTTCAATCTGAGAAGAATGAATTAAATAAAATGTTTTTAGATTAATATGTCAAATGAGAAAATCAATTAAAAATAGTGATACTCTATAAACTATGTAAATAACGAGCTATTATACAAAAAACCACAGATTTGTAACTAAAATATTTATTCTCAGAGTTGACCAGGATTTATCTAGTACCTAAGGTAGGGAGTAAAGTTCCAGAAAATCACTTCTTTTCTGAAGCATTTCCTATGGTTAGGGAAAAGGCAGGGATATACAAAATTTTGTTATGGGTGAGATTTAAGGACATAGTAAAAGAATTTTCTCAATGCAGGAGTAAGAGTGTCCCATTCTAATTCCAACTCGCAAAATGATTGAGCCACAAACCAACAAAAGACCAATAAAGAATGGAGGCCAGAAAAGTATAATGGTCAAAAAATGAACTATATAAAGTATCAAATAAATAACAGAATACTAACAATAATATCAAAAACAGAAGAACAGAGCAAGACTTAAAATGAGGCTAAAATATATTTTAAAATAGGAAATAGGAATATTCTACGCAACCTGTATTTTACTGCCCACCTTTGTGAAGGTCTCTTCTGTGACACACAGTGGAACATTATAATAATGCAGAACACATGACGGTGGTTGAATTATATTCTTAGATGCTTGGCCGGCACTTGTAAAGCGATTGTTTTTGCTCATTGCAAAATCCTTGTAGCTACTTGTACCATCCTCCAGCTCAAATATTTGACTTGGAACAACTGAATGTTGTTTAGACACACTAAAGATTAGAAAGGAAAAACATACAGAACATACCTTGTTAGATAAAAAAGCAGCAAGTAGCCAGTCTCGAGATGTTAACATATATGCCTGCATCAATCTTAATAAAAAAGGCATATGTAGCTATTTAAATACAGCTTAAATATTTGATATTTTGAATATTTACTTAAATATTCAAATTTAGGTTGAGTTATAATCAATCACTCTTATAGGTTAGACATCAATTAGAAAGAAAAATCTATTGAATATATTCTCATATCAGAAAACTTTAACATAAAAACTTGCTCATTTTAACATGCTGTTTTATGATCATAAAACTAAAAACTAGGTATAGGTAAGAAAAATCTGAATTATATGACCTTAATACTTTGTCTAAAATGACAATACTACAGCTGCTAGTTTCAGATGTGCCCTTAATTACATTAAAATATTCAAAATTGAAATTAATGTCTCTAATAAAAAGGATAAAGATTTTCTAATATTTTTAAATTTACCACTTAAGATAATTACCAAACATTAAGCCGTTTCCCAAATAACTTGACATTGTTAAGGTGTGTGACAGCTCTTTCTACAGCATACTCATCACCCATTTCTACCAATGCTGTACCAGGAATGGTCTTCATAAATTTTACCTGTAAATATAAAACCCCAAAAAGGTGACCGTTTAGTTCCCTTTTACAGTAACAGGATTTCTAAAAGATAATGTGATTTAAGTGGTTGATGTCAAATATAGAAGATCACCTGGAATCTTAACTTTATTCTGCTGTGCTATTGGACACTCAACTCTTATCAAAATTCAAGAAAGTTAAAAAGGAAGACTACGATTCTATTGTATAGCTTATTGAAGAGGAGCACAGGCTTACCTTGGCTCCATTATTTATTAATTGTATGATGTGGGGCAATTTACTTCACTTCTCTGAGCCACAGACTTCTAAATAAAATGGAGATACTGATAACATCTGGCAGAACTCATCAATATTTATTCATTCAACAAATATTTATTGAATACCTAATATGTTTTGATAAGCTAGGTACTGGGGATTTAATGGTGAACGAGACATGGAACTCTTGGAAGCTAATATTTTAGTAAGTAGGTCAGAAAATTAAAAGTAAATAATTACCAACTATTCAGAGTGCTGTTAAAGCAATAAACAAGACGTTTATGTAGAAATAATGGAAGACAGATTTGAGATAGCCATTGCTAGCAGGAAGGCTGTGTAAGGTTAAGAGCAATTTTTAAAAATAGTCAATATTTCACAAGTTTTCATGATATATATCTTGGGCAGAGGCCATACTTATCCTCTTATATTATTCCCATTTTAGTATACAATGCTATAAGGGTTAGAGATGGGATAAAGTATGATAATCATTCGGCATAGTGCCTACTCCTTGAAAAGTCCCTAAACAGCTATTAGGTACCACTAACATTCCTGACACCTTGAACACACTTCCTTCTTAGCTGTTAACCTCTAATCAATATCCGAAATGTATTTACGCAACAAGTGCAACACAGCACTTATATCAACCATTGCAACTGTCAATTTTAATGCTCTAGTCTATCATTTTTTTTACTATATCTGCACTTGAACAAAACCCAGTTGTAGCAGACCTTTTCAGCTTTATTTAAAATCAACTACCTTCTTGTGGGCAAAATTTCTCTCCCTTGATTTAATGCAATAACATCCTACAAATCTAATAGTGACTAAATATATATGTTAAATATGTAGTTCTTGTACTGGTAAATCTCCAAGTTGGAAAAAAATTAACTATATGCAGGTCTTTGAAGGATTATGATGACATTAACAATGTATCATTTAAAATGCTTAAACATTTTGGGATGTGGAGTAAGAGAGACTAAAACTGTTCAAATAACATACAAAAAACTTAAGGTTTATTAGAAAAAGTGATTTAGGTTTCTAAATCATGAGACAATTGGTTGATAACACAAAAGACAAAGATCTACTAAAGACGTTGCTCAAATTGCCTGATTCTCGTTGTGTACAAATGTGAAAAGCACAAACAGAAAAGTAACACCATGCAAAGAAGGTTAAAATATACATTAAAGCCCATTTAGCTATCAAGCCTGCAGTTCCTAGACCTTAACTAAACACCCAGGTGTTAAGACAAATGTTTGTGTGAAAAAATCTGAACTACTTTTCCCAATGTTGCTAAATCTGTCCCACGTATACTTAGCTACTTATATAAGCAGATATATCCCATATGTTATCCCCTAAACCAAACTGTTGAGGAAATTCTTGTTTCAGAGATTTTTCTGAGTTGCTTCTTCAGATCAAGGAGGTTTTAGAATTAATGGAGTAATAACTAATAGTACCAACTTTCTAAGCCATGCTCCCCTCCCCCCACATACTTATGACTCACATGCTTATACTTTTTTATTGTTGTGAAAAAAACACTAAAATCACTTAAAACAACAGGGAAAAATAACATTACTACAGTATTGAAATTCAAGCAAGTGCATCAAACAATTGGTCACTTAAGACTACCTAAATTTTCCATGGCTCTTTCAAAAATATTTTAGCATCCACTTTATGACAGGGACTATTCTAAGTATTTGTGAGGTATCAATGAACAAAAAACATCACAGATCTGGAGAAATCACAGAGTTATCTGGTAAAAATAAAGTCACAATTTTAAAGATCTTCGAAAATACGTAAAATTTAAACGTTTTGCTACTTTTTGAGCGTAAGCCTCCGGACAGCGTCTTGAACACATTCTACCAAAGTGGGTCAGTTTCAAACACTGATTGAGCTAAAAGCACACTGTTCCTCAGAAGATATTAGAACTCTTAGCATTTGGGAGGGAAATATATCAATCCAGAATTCTCCTAAAATTCATGACTTGTGGCCAAGCTCTGAGACATGTTTATGTATACCCAGCTACATGAAAGTCACTGCTCTTTCAAATCCCACAGTTCAACGTATTAAATTCTAGAATCTCTTTGAAATGATTAAAAAAATATAGGTTTTATGCCTAAAATACTCTAGCAACTGATTAAACTACTGTTTTGGACTTCAATTCATATTAGTAAATTATTTAAAAATATTTTTAGAACCAATAATCTATATTGATTACCTACCAACAAAAAATAATTTCTGGAGTTCCTACCTAATGGATTTTTAGCTTCTGTGGGTAACTACTGAAAGAAGTTGCATGTTCCTAGTACAAGGAGAAGACACATATTTGCAGCCTTTTCAGATTTTCCTACTAGATATCCTAGCAAAAGAAATTAATATAAAATGAAACTTACCTTTTCAATATTTCCATATAAGCAGAACAGATTGAAAACTCTTGAACAATTCATTTTTAGCTGATGTAATCCACTAACCATTACAACTGAACCAGAGGGATTTCCCCCATGCATGTAAGAGGAAGAAGCCTGCGGTAGTGGATAGGCAACAAGCTCCGGTGTGTCTCGAGAACCCATTCTGTAACGACTTGGTAAAGGCAATAATGGACCATGGGATCCTATAAAAATGATGAAAAAAAAAGAAAACACAATGTTAGCAGATACATTTCACCACACAAAAAATAAATTCTTAACATTAGCTAATTTGACATATGTTCAAGGAAAACTCAAATGTGTGAATATTCAAATATAACCTGTGGGAATTAACAACATTCATGTTTGTTTGTAAATCTAATATACATTGACCTGCACACACCTGCATACATCAGGCTTTAAGTTTATATTTTTAAAAAATAGTAGTTTAACAAAAAAAAGTATATATGATCAGGCCATAAGATAGAGGGAGGAAATCATTGCAAAATTTTGGACCTCTGTATATAAATTATACCTCCAACTAAAAAACAAACTTCTACCAACCTCTTTTGGAGGATAATACAATAAAATATACAGTGAAATCTAGGAAACGATCTCTATATGGATATAACAAAAAGAACACCTTTAGTTCCACTGAAAAGTTGTCTCCTTGAAATATATTTTACTATAATGTACTTTCAAGGTTAGTATTTTATTCTTCTAATTCTAATTTAGGAAACTAAAACCCTAGATTTAGTTAATACCTCACCAACAAGGAGGTGTCATTATTTAGCAACCTCCACTTTTTGAAATAGCAATAACCCAGAAGAAAATAATGCCTGAGTATCTGAAACTGCTGTCATAGAAACATACACAAATCTATGTCACTTATATTGAGAATTCTTACTAAAAATCCTTGCTAACTTTATAGTAGTTCTAAACAACTTTAAATTATCTGGTTTTCCCATCCATAACATTAGAAGAAATAAGAAAAATAAAGCTAGAGTGAATAGAATAGACAGTAATGAGAGAATCTGGAGAAACTGTTAATACTGTAAGTGGGCATAGGGCACATTTACAGCAGCAAAGAGGCATAAGGAACTCAGAAGAAGCAACTAAGATGGAGACATGTAGCTCAGAAATCACTCAGGCACTCGTGAGTTAGTGATTATAGAAACATACTCTAGGGTACATGTAAAAGTCCTCCTGATGTGCAAAAACCCCAAGTTCTTCCCTTGTTTCTCAAGAAGTAAAGCATATGTAATGCTACTGAATTTCATTTTTATATAAGACTAAGAGACACACTTGTCATCTACTAAGTGAGTTACTAAGAACTACTATATTTCAGTATCGTAGCACGCTATTAGAGCTTATGTGGACTCCAATGCAGTATTCAGTATTCCTAATATAGCTGCCATTCCCAACAACACAGCAACACTACCACTGAGCACACTGAGCGAACAGTGTGAAGTCTTACAATTTTGTGGAGGAATACTTTATCAATGCATCATCATTAGTCCTGCCTTAAATTGGTCATGGTTTTCAACTGCTCTTCTTGCTGGTAATTGTAGTTCATCAAAACTATCAATATAGCTCATGGTGAGTTACTTGTTAGTAACCATATATATTTTGGCCTCTAATTTAGACTGTTATACATACAGTGGGGTCAAACATCACTCATTCTTATCCCTACTGCAAAAGTACAGATACATATTATACTACTCCCATACTGCTACCATTTGCTTGTACAGTAATGACACTTTGCCATTATCACTAAATTTTCTTTTTCATAGAAAGTGGAAACTTCCTCTCTGCTTAAATTGGCCAAGGTCCAAATACTTTGAGTCCACTGCCATAGGTAACAATCGAATTCAGTGCAAAAAAATAACTGATGTGTGTAATTATGACCTTGAGCCATCAGGATCAAATTATGCTACCTACGCTATTTAAATTGTTACCTATATTGTTTAAGAAGATTAAAAATAGAAGTCTTTTAAAAGCTTTCTATACTAAATAATCCATGCAAAAAGTTTTGGTGCTTAAAAAATTAATGCTTCAGGAATTTAAAAAAATTCGCTTATGTGGAAGAATGCTACATAAATGGAATTAACATTTCGAAGGCATTTCCCATCTTTGATAATTTAAAATCTTTGGTCCAGGAACCATGTCCAAAGATGCTAGCAATTAATATATAAACTTTTCTTGGGCTCACAGCAAATAAATATGTATATTCATTTTTGCCACTTTTCAAGTATGAAGGCTTCTACCCATTCACCCTACAGGGCTGGGCTTCCCAAATTTAAAGAATTCTGAAAGCATAGATTTATACTGCTATAATAAACTAATTAATAAAGTTAATCTAACTAAATAAAGTTTCTCTATTCCCTCTTTCTCACATACCATCATAAATAAAAAGCCACCCATGATATTGACACCAAAACGCAAATACCCTGTTTTGCTGAACTGCTGATCTAAAGGGATACAGATACAATTCACAGGATTTGTAAAATAAAAAAAAAGGATACAGATATGATTCACAGGATTTGTAAAAAAAAAAAAAAAAAAAAAGGGATACAGATATGATTCACAGGATTTGTAAAAAAGCTCAGTATCACTAGCACCCACTTCCATCTTCTTTGTTTTTTCCCCAGTTTCCTCATCTTCTCTTCTCTGCCTCTTTTTATGCATCTCTCTGTCTCTCTCTCTTTCCTCCTATATCCTATTCTGCTTACTTCCCTAGGAAAGTAAACAAATTATCATCAGAGTTAAATGTTTCAATGGATATAGCTCAGAATGGACACCTCTACACAATTCTATCACAATCATTCCTTCTCAGCAGGACTCTCAAGAGCCTGAATTTTCCCTGTTTAACAACTGTCACTTCAAAGAATTCTGCATCTCTTTAAGTAAGCTTACAATTTAAAATTTACAGACACACTTTAAATAAATTAGGGCATGAAACTGACAAAGAATTTCACAATAGGCTTTTATAAAACAAAAAGTTCTTTAGGGCATATAACATTTTTGTTTATACAATTTGTCAGTAAAACATATTTTATAAAGGAAGGCGAACCTGAAAACCCATTCTCAGAAGACAGTCTCTGTCAATACTACTACAGTAGAGTTCTCTATCCTTCATCTGTTCTTTCAGAGTTTTCTAGCCCCCTTTGGCAAAACACTTAACCAATTTTTAGCCTTCAGCTGACTGCATGACACAGTTATATACTCCATAACTACACTACAAACTTGTGATTAGCAATTCTTCTGTAACACTCCGTTTTGCAAAAGCACAGTAGGCTCCTAATAAGTGTTTCTTTACTGCAGGATCAGAACTACCCATATGACTATATTTAATGCTTACTCAGTTAAAGAAAGAAACTAAGAAAAATGATTAAGGAACACACTACTAAACATCATAGTAAGATTTTCATTGTGTACCACAATTACTGTTTAGATTTAACCTAGAGATTGTTTCAGTCTCTTCTGCCATATAAACTTATGACCACAGAAACTTGAATACATACACACACACACACACAAAACACAGAAGTAATAAACCCCTGGAGTTCAAAAAAAAGACACTAGGGAATAAGCTAAAACTCACAGTTAAGAATGGTCATAAACATGTAGGTAATCTGAAAACATTTCCAACAAAAGGCAACACTGGGCTTTCCAATGATAAATCCCAAGAGTACAATATAGCAATTTCTATTTTCTACCACTTCTAATAGTATTATACTTCAACTTCAAACCACAGAATAGGTGCGGTCAATAACTACTGCTAAAAACTAAAAAATATTTAAAAACACAAACCACAGAATAGGTAGGGTCAATAACATAGCAAACATTAAAACTGAGAAGTTTTAGAAGAGGAATTAAATAAAAACAAATTTAACCAAAGCCAAAATACCAACTGTAGAGCTAAAAGAAAGAATCAAGGATCTAACCAGATACATGTTTCCTTTTTGACAAATATTCCATTCTTTCTAACTTTATTACTCAAAATTCCTCTTTGTTCATAATTGTTAGAATGGAAGAAAATACACTTACTGAGCAATAATACTTCTTTTTGAGCCTAACAGACCAGAATCCATTACTAATCAAAATCAAAACAAAAGAAAATATAATGGGAAAAAAAGCTTTCAATCCCCAACCAACAGTTCTCATTTATCTCAAGGATTATATATCAATATCCTAAGAAAATAAAGGATTTTAGACAAATCCTTAGGAGTACATTATAAGGGACTGATCCCATATAAACCAAGTCAGGCGAGCAGGAAAAACAGAAATAAGAAATGTGCCATTCTTCATCAGAAATGCAAAAATTCTAATAGTTTGTCTATACTACCTTCCTTCTGCCTTGACAAACTTACCATAGCCATCATGTCTAAACGAAGAAGGGTGTTCTCCCAAAATGGCTTGCCTCTGGCGACCCTTTCCTCTATCTGACACAAAAGTAGAAACATGGTTTTAACAATTTTGACCCAAGTACTTAACAGAGTTCTCACATGGGAAACACCCATTCAAAACATCTATTACAATTCATAAAAGAAATATGACTCCTGGTTAACTTTAAACATCCATTCATATCCAATTTAAATACAAACACCAAAAGTTTAAGAAAGTAATTCTATCTAACAAATTCCACTTAACTTGAAAATATCTTTTTGGCAAATGCCAAATACAATCACACTTTCATATTTAAGGAAAGAATGGATACTTTTCAGAAAATGAATGTACACAATGCTAGTTTGACACTGTACAGAAGTTTTTACCAATACATGTCTTTAAAACAAGCTTTAAGTGCAGTACTTTTGAAAGACAGTACCTGAATCATACTATTAGCTTCAACAGCAACACATTTTCAAAGTGGGCTTCTTTCAAGAAGTTCAGCATAAGCCAACAACAACCTGTATTACATGGTTTCACAATCAGTAAACACAGAGTATTTTGTATGTATATACAAATATTTACAAACACCTACTGACTTGAGAGCTGGAAATTTGCACATCACTGGCCCATATTATATCATGGATTGGTCGTTGTCTATAGACCTTAACACCAGGCAAGACTATGAGCACCTCCCAAAGTTTAAATATGCCAAGATAAAGCTAACCAAGGGGGCTACATTATTGGATGAGAGTACTACAATACTCCTATAGGATAATTTTTACTCTAGCTACATTTTTAGGGAAGGCATGCCAATTTTCCCAAATCTAATTTGAGACATCAAAAAAAATTACTTGTATGTGTCTAAAATAGCACTTCCTATGGTGGTTAGTAAATTTTAGAATCATTGTATAATACTTTTAGAAAGTTTGCTGACCAAATTATCCGTCCAGTAAGATATTTTTAAATGTATCTTGAGTCTGATCATTCTAATCTTTGAAAATTCAGAGGCTTTCCATATATCCTTAGTTACCTAAACAAATGAAGTTTATGGGAGATGAGAAATACTTTGATTCTCACTTCAGTCTAGAGAAATATTGTTTTAATTACCTATTCCAAGTTATCATATCATTGAAAGGGACCTAGGAGGTCATCTAGTTCAACTTTTATTCAGTGTATAAATTCTCTTTACATCATTCCTATCAATTAGGACCATCTAGCCTCAGCTCACCCAACACCAGTAACAGGGTACTCACTACTTTCCCTTACATTTTTTGTTAGTCCTAAATCAAGAGAAAATTAATTTTTATACTTTATAGAAATTGGTCATCTACCCATATTCTACCTCATTTGGGACCTCACAGACTAAGTCTTTCTCCAAAAACTCTTTCAAATGCATAAAAGTTATTATGATGCCCCCCTCCATTTCCCCAAAGTCATTTCTTCTCCACTCTAAACATTCACAGTTCCTTCTTTCCATTATACGGCTTCCAGTATCATCGTTTACGTCTTACTCCCTTGAATCAATCCAGTGCTTATCCATTCTGCTAACGTTCCTCTGCTTAAGCATGACACCAAACACTAAATACAATTCCTTATCTGATCTAGGAATCTTAAACGAAAACTACCATAATGTCTTCATGGTTTATTTTTATTGAAACGGTTAACGGTGTGCTATAAAGGCAAGAGTACTAGATTGGGAATCAGAAGATTCCAACTTAACCACTAATTTGCTGTATAATCACAGAAACAATCTTCATTCATAAAATGAAGGCGTTAGATGATCTCCAAGGTATCTTTCAGCCAAATATTCTCATTATTCATAATTCCCTTTATTTGAAGCATTTGCTACCTAATATAACATCACATAAAACAGAATAAGTATGTGGAAGAGTCAAACACTGAATACATCCGGCTATAAACAGTGGTTTGTAACCTTTCACAGATTCATCTGAAATCTGATGGAAGCTGTGGACCTTCTCCCCCAAAACATGCACATATACACAAGTTTTGTTTAACATTTCTAGAGGGATTCTCTGAAGTCCAGACTAAGAATCCTTTGCACTAAACTGTAATTTGGGCTGAAAAGGACTTTTAAAAATGAGGTTGTGGGGGGGCTGGCCCCGTGGTCAAGTGGTTAAGTTCGCGCGCTCCGCTGCAGGCGGCCCAGTGTTTCGTTGGTTCGAATCCTGGGCGCAGACATGGCACTGCTCATCAAACCACGCTGAGGCAGCGTCCCACATACCACAACTAGAAGAACCCACAACGAAGAATATACAACTATGTACCTGGGGGCTTTGGGGAGAAAAAGGAAAAAATAAAAAAAAAAACTTAAAAAAAAAAAATGAGGTTGTGGGGTCGGCCCCATGGCCGAGTGGTTAAGTTCGCATGCTCCACTTCGGCAGCTTGGGGTTCACTGGTTCAGATCCTGGGCACGGACTTACACACTGCTCATCAAGCCATGCTGTGGCAGGCATCCCACATATAAAATAGAGGAAGATGGACACAGATGTTGCTCAGGGCCAGTCTTCCTCAGCGAAAAGAGGAGGATTGGCGGTGGATATTAGCTCATGGCCAATCTTCCTCACAAAAAAAATAAAGAAGAAGAAGAGAGGTTGTATTTACAAAAGCATTCTTTTTTTTTTGGCCGAAAAACTTACAATTCAATATCAACTTGAGTGGAAGCTGAAGTCACTATAAAAACAAAAACATAAACTGCTATAGTCTTGCCAGACAAATATCTATCTGTAAAGAATTAGAAAACAAGACTTCTTTTCCCTTGAAAACATAAACAACCAAAATTCTGTTTTACTTCCTTTAATTGTATTTCACTATTTAAATATCTACCTTACACATTTCTAAACTTTTCTGACTGTATTTCCTTGCACGGAAAACAAATCTAAGCTAGCTTTGGGTAAACTTTAGAACTTTTAAAAGAATAGATAAGAAGCATATCCATAAATGTTTTAAGAGACATTAAGAAAAATGTAGCTAAAACCCACTATTTCAAATGATTAAAAAAAATTTTTTTAAACAACTGAGTGTTCAATAACTTGACTGTAATTTGACAGAAGTGAGAGATTTCTCATCAACCACTTGTTCTGTTGTTTGAGTACTAAGGCTTTGTCTTCCAATACTGTATTCAACTGCACCAAGCCTACACCAAGCAGACTTCTGTGATTAGTGAAAAATGTGGGGTCCAGCCCAAGCTGCATTACAAAACAAAACTGTTTGCAATGCAATGAACAAGGCAAGATGATTTCAGGCCAATCATCTAAAAGTTCTAAATATTTGAACATGCAAAGGATCGTCGCATTGTCTTTTATTTTTTTTGTTTGGCAAGAATACGTGCACTATAGAGTCCCTACTGTCCACGATATTTTGGATGCCATGAAAATTTTTCCTGGTTTATTGATTTTTACAGATACATGTAACTGTATCTAACACATGGTTCAGATAGTGATATTGTAGTTGAGATGTAACCAATACTGCAGCCCCCTTGTTTTTACAAGATCCACATTTTAATTTGTACACTATTCCAGAATTGCCACACGGTTAAACAATTTTTTCAGTCAAATCTATGCTCATGAAATCTAGCATTTGTAAGTTATAGGTGAAAATGCATCTCAAATGAAATGCTCTTATTTTCAGATTTATCAAGTTTAAATATATTCTACCTTGAACAGACATGTTACTTTCACCTACATTTGAAATGTCAAAATTTCTAGTTACACAAATTAACATGAGTGATAACCTTAAATTGTTACAAAAAGTGACAACTTATAAACAGCCACTTTACAAAAATCAAACCACACAGAAAATCATCTTTTACATATAAAGCACCTTTCATTATTATGTTATTCTATTTAACGTCCACAACTGAGGGAAAAAAAAAGTAAATTTAAGTGCAGCAAGTGTGCACCTTTCTAATCCTTTTATCTTTGATATCTGTGTGGATTGGTTGAGCATTATCAATTCCCAAGACCTATAGATAAATTGGCCCTGGTTATTTGCCAATTAACAATTTGAATCTAAGCTGCAAACAGTTACAGTAATGGGCATTAAGATTTACAACATTGTAAATAAAGTCTAGTATCCGTTAGTGTAAAGTTTTAAATTCTACAACTGAAACCTTACGGGAAATCGGACCATATACATACAACTTGAATAAATGGGCACAGTCTATCATGGTGTTCATCCCATGCAAGTCTGAAGTACTGTTAAGTGTCCTCCTTTAAAAACTTGGGGTGATGGTGCATGCAGTATGCAGTCAAGGTGAATTGCAAGTCTGAGTTTTTCAGAGGGCTTTTTGCTGATGCCGATGTTGTGCATGATGAAGTGTAGAGTCAGCCTGCTGGAGTCCTCTATCCTTCTTAATGCCTCGTCCAGCTTGGGGGAAAAGTCCTTTCCATAGAGAAGCAGTGTGCAAGTTTGCAGTTTGTAAGTAATATTCTGAGTCAGTTTCCTCTCCTCCAAAGAGAGAGAGCTGCTTGGAGAAATGCAAGTCCTTGAACTGCGGGCGTGCCTGTTATGTGTGGGCTCCTTGTTGAACTAAATATAAATAACTCAGTACATACCAGTAGGGGGCACTAATGTTCAAGGTTATTTTCCAGCATTACGTGGTCTTTTGCAACAAAAGCATTCATCAACAAGGTTTTCATTTGAATGAACTAGCTCATCTCAGGAAAGAGGAATCTAATTGCATATAAAAATTTGTCAGCAAACGTAAGTACATTCTAAAATGCATAAAATACTTACCTCGTCTTCCCAAATATGGTTTAGTGTAGTCCCAACTGTCATTGTCATTCCTAATAACATTTAGACGAGTTGGCTGTTAAGATTAAAAAGAAAGTAAGTTCAAATTGAATACCCAAAGCATAAATATTTCTTTGTTGAAATGCTGAAAAGAATATTTACCCTTGCATATTCGATTTTTAGTGTGCAACATCCAGCATATATATCTGCTCCATTGAGTGCCGCTTTAGCTTTCTGGGCACAAAGGACTGATTCGAATGTCAGCTCTATTAAGGAAATTTGGTTTAAGGTGTCCAACAATTAATCATTATTCACTTCCTAAGAAAAAGACTGAAAACAACCAGAAATAATTCTCTCACTTCCGGAAATGTTTTACCAAATAAAATTTCTAGATGAATTTTTAGTAGGAGAATTTATTTTTAAGATCAATGGTACTAAAGAAAACAGAACACAACTAAACTATCTACAGGAATCCTTCTGAATCATCAGAAGTACTTTATCAATTGAGGGAGAGAGGAAGAATGGAGCATAGTCCCATTCCCTAGCAAAGCACAGCTTGCTATCTTGAAACAGGAAATATTTTACTCAAAGTAGGAAGAACATTACAAAGAACCAAAATAATACAAAACAAATATGTGATTCTTATATATTTCTGAGAAGGCAGGGTTTTATCATCATTTAACTATCTTCATTTTATTGGTTTTAAAAAATTACTTAAGTCTATAATTGTTTAAAAAAAAAAATCAAACCATAAAAGTAGTAAAAAAAAAAAAAAAAAGCAAAAACACCTCGCCAGAAGTAAGCACCATAAAGAGTTTGCTGTATATCCTTACTTTTTCCTATGCATACACACATACACATAGGTTAGGAGTTTTTTCTTAATTATTACTATTTTTTTAATACGATTGTACTATATATGGTATTTTATAACTTGTTCTTCTTACTCAATGTATAACAAATTTAACACAGAGAAGCTGTTCTTACATAAATCATAACCATTTGAAAGACTCAATAAAGATAGCTAAGAAAGGTTCTATTGACTCTAAAGTTTTGGCACTTCCAAACTAACTATTTTAAGGAGAGGTTCCGAAAAGTTCATTTGGGATAAATTTCAAAAAGATAAAAGTGTACATATTATCAAATAGTGTTATTTTCCCCCCATTAAAAAGGCAAAGCACACTGTTAAGATGAAGCACTGGACTGTTTTATGACAGCAAGTTATTCTTATCATAAATAGTAAAATTCTCTGTGGGTACTGCAGTTTCCTTTTTTAAATCTAGGACAAGTAGATTTTGGGAGAAGGAGTGAGGGAGAATAAACACCTCTTGTCCAGAAATGATGGATTAAGCAGGAAAAAATAAGATCTATATTACCCAACATTCATATACATCAATAAAAATTTACAAATAAAGGATATTCAACCATTGCTTGTATTCCGTTTCTCTTGAATATAACAATACGTTGCACTTTTCCAACAGGGTTGCATACAGTATATAAAACATCCTATGAAGGAAAGAAAACAGGATTTCCTCACATTTTACGTTTAGAAAAACATTAAAGCTATACCGTTTTTACTAAAAAAAACAACTGCCAAGATACCATTTCTATTAATTACTAACCTTTTTAAAATTGTTACACTTTAATAAATCTAAAGTCATTTCCTCACATACACAATATACCCACATCAGAGATGTTCCAGTAAAACATCTGAAAAGCATTACTATCTATTTTCTCTCTTAAATGAATCTTCAAAATGTTCTTAATACATGCCTAAAATAATCCCAGACAACAAACAATAAATAAACCAAAACTGTAATCGATTACTTTATTTTTTCCAAATATTACTCTGAAATGTTTAATATTAAAATCACTTGAATTATAGTAATAAATATTTATTAAAGGGTAGTAGTAGGACATTTCCGTATTTGTTTTTCAAGGGACACTGGCTATAGAGAAAAAACCCAGGGAAAATCATTTACACAGTGTTAGATGTCACCAAACAAGAGGCGTGAATCATCTAAGAGAGAATCTAAATACCTACTTACTAACAATTCATCAACTTTCAAGAAATTTCTTAAACATCTAATTATATAGCCACACCATTACATATTAGGGATACAACAATAAACAAATCAGAGTACTTGTAGTACTCTAGATGAATTATATTCTTTCTCCCAAAACACCAAATACCATAAATATATTAATACTGTTAATAAGCCTATAAACATTACAAAAGTAGATACATCCTGTCTAATTAAATTTAAATTTTAAACTAAACCTATGCTTTGTTTTGAGTTTATGTCACAACAACTTATACCCTTAGCAGAAATCATAATAATTAAAGCTTCTCTTACTATGATATTCTATTTGTTATAAAAACCAAGTGTCCTTGTCACTTGATTATTGTGAAACACCATGTGATTACAAAGTAGAAAACTCAACTGGTTCAGGACATGAATCCTTTTTAAAATTCTACTAGTATCATTTTATTAAAAGGTGAAGTAGGAATAAATCAGGCAGGTTTTTAGCAAGCTATCTCAAAACAGCTTATAATGATATATGCCTCTTACTGTACTATAGGATTCTATCATTACCTAGTAGATGCTGTTAATACATGCACTGGTTTATGAGTGAGACAGATTTCTTGGGTCATTTCCAACAAGGCTGTCTAATCCTTTATTATCAGAAACAGAGTTAACATTGATGCCAAGTAATAAAATTTTTAAAATGTGCTTATTTAATTATGACAGCTGTGCTTCTGACCTGTTTAGCTTCAGTACTATTTCTTTGTTGATTAAACCTAATATCAAAATTAATAATTAAATAAGTTTTTAAAAACCACATTATTTTCAAATATCTAGAAAGCAGTGAAGAAAACTATAGGTTAGTCACTCTAGAGGCAAATTCCAAAACCACTTTTATTTTAGTTTGTCATACTACAATACATACCACTGTAATTGGATAAAGAGGATTCTGAATTGATAGCAGAAGAACTTTGTTGCCTCCTGATGGATCATCAGTATTTCCTGGTCGAGTGATCCTTTTGCTAGTAGAATAGTTGAAAAAAGCCTGTTGACCAGCAATGTACACAGGTTCATCCGCAGCAAACGTTACACATTCTTTGGCACTATCTATGTTCTCAAATTCCACTAGAGCCTGCCGTTTAAATGGCATCATCATCACATAGCTGAAAGGGAGATTGAGAGGGAATACCCAAATATAATAAGTTCAATTAACATTATTTGTTCTCAATCAAGTAAAAGTAGACTTTAACAAAAATGTGTTAAATCATACAGACTAGTATTCTTTACTACCTATATCCAACGTTAGTCAACTCAAATCATCCACATAAATTGTGGTATAGCAGGTAGACGGAGCCTATTTAAAAGCTTATCCTCCTGTGACTGAAAGCTTCTCCACCTCATGCCCTCCTCAAGCACAATTCTTTGTTATTAGTTACTAATGACACCACCCAGTTTATTCCTCAGGCTGCCACTACCAGGAAGTATTAGAAAATATCTAGATACAGAAACCAAGAGAGATAAAACTCAACAGAAGGTTAGCAGATGGGACACCTTACAACGGAAACTACAACCTCTATTGAATTTTCCAAATAAACAAGTGCCCACATTAATAACTAAGAACTGACTATACTTTCATGTATCTTACTAAAAACAGAGAACCAAAGATAAATAGAAGCAACTGCAAACCAACCAAGTTTCATACAAATAATCTCCTCCAAAATATTTTTAAATATTAAAGAATCCATGAAAAGATGTTCACTAGAATATGGTAATCATGGTTGCCTCTGGGCAAGAGGGTGAAGTATGTACTTTTCATTGTATACCCTTTTGGGGGGAAATACATTTTAACACATGAAATGAAAAATGAAGAAATGAAGGAAGGCAGGAAAAAAAGAAATCAGAGGACATGGATCATAACGGGAAACATGTTCTCTGTTCACAGAAACAAGAACCTTAAAAATGATTTAAAATACAATTAATATGGTTTTTATAAGAGCAGAAGGCCAGAGAAATAACATTAAGTGAGGCCCTCAGTGACAGCACTGCTTATCAATCAGGCATCCAGGCCCTACCACTACACCTTAGAAACTGGCAAATGCTTTCTAATTAATAACAAACAGACCACTTTGTAGCCTGGCAAACTATATAACTTCTTATGAATTTCAGCTTCCTCATTTAAAAAACTTGGAGGAGTGTTGTCAAGGTTATAAATTGCTTGCCTTGCCTCATTTATCTTTGTATCCTCAAAATCTGGAAACAGAGCCTGGTATATAAGAAGAATTCAATCAATATTTGTTTGTCTATGAGGCTTATTAGCTCTCCCCACCCACATCATTCAAAATTAAACAAGAAAATACAGAAACAGTAAGGCCTTGGATTTAAAGATTTACCAACTACAAACGTAAAACACAAATCTCAGGAGAGAAAGATCACTTTTAGAAACACAGACTCCTTGCTGAAGTTCTAAAGTCTTGCATACAAAAAACAGAAAACCCTGGAATCAGATCTACGCTAAAGAAATTAAAAAAGAATAAATATTCTCTTCCTACAAATATACGTTGGTTTAATAGCTAAGTGATATTACCAACTAAATATGTTAATAATGCCCTTTGGCTCTTTGGAAACAGAAAAATTATAAAACTACAAAAATAAATTCTTTATTGGCCTATTATAGACTGGGTCATAGTAAAACTGCTTTCTATAACTACAGTAAGTGACCTAGAAGCACAGACTTAACAAGATTACCCAGAAAAGTGGCATTAGTGAAGATAGAAAAGGGAAAATTAGAGTGTCAGCACATAATTTTTTAAAAGTCTTTAAAAAGCATTAATATGAGGAAGATTGGAAGACCAAAGAGAGAAAAAATAAAACAGAAGGCTAAGAGATAACGGTAGGGTCAGTGCTTTCAGCTTATAGCTTGAAACACATTTATAATTTTTAAATCAAAACAGGAAGAGGCAAAAGACATACTGCATAAATTAGGTCCCAAAAGTTTTGTACTAAAATTTTAAACTAGTATAGCTAATCACTACCTAGCATTCTCTACTTTAATGGGAGGGGAAAGGGAGGAAAATAGACTCAGTATATATTTTTAAATATTCTTTTGTTTATAACGCATGAATATACTACAGAATAAAGACCAAAAAAACAGCAATTTTATCATCCTAACACAACCATTCTCAGTATCTTGTTATAGTTGCCCCTGAACTTCTTTCCTATACATCTCGTTTTTAGGTCTAAACTTACTATGTATTGAACTTGGTGACTCATCTTTTTAATATGAGCAGTTTCTATTTAATCTTTATAATCCCATACACACTCACCACTAAATAAGTCAATAAACAAATAGGGAAAAGTTCAATAAATGCAACATTTTGAATCAAAACATCTACTCCTCATTGGAAGTTGTTCAAAGTTCTTTCAGTTTCAATAGCAGCCACCTCTTATTCAAGATCATTTCACACAATTCAAACTCCTTTTACACATATTTATGCCAATTAAGCTCTCAATTAAACACTAATTTGTTCCAATTATTTCATGACTTTTCTAATCTTGAGGGCAGAATGATGTACTATGTAAATTAAGTGAATAACATTCATATATGGAATACTTTACCACAGACTAAGTATCAAACAGTATAGAGTCTAAAAATGGCCAGGCCACCTAAAAACAATTTAAATTACTCACCAACTTAATCAAATAGTTCTATTTCTTTAATCCCCCACATTCAGGTCACGGTCATAACTAACATCAAAATATCAATATAGCTAGTATTTCCCTAAAGTTTCCAACTGTATTTGCTCATCAACTTGTTTTCTGACACAGCTTCTACATTTCTTGGCTATAAGAAAATAACTTAAAAAGCCCTATATATATAAGAACAGAAGAAAAATAAACCAGAGATAACCATCTCTTTATAACTTCTTGGGACAATGCACCACTTAGAAGATCCTTATAACGACTGGAGTTAGTCTAGTGCCAACATGCAAGTCTAAATAAGGTCTAAGGAGTCGGCTTCAATACATAAATCTCAAGACAGACTTAACTTCCAATATCCACTCCAAACAACTAAGAAGTGATGTAGTCATCTCAGTGATACTTCAAGAAATGGGCTTTCTTATGCCCATGTGGATTCCCAATTTGTACCTCCAAGCACAAAAAATATCTAACAGTGGTTTCTGTGGTACACAAGAAGAGATAACAGGTTTGCCAAGTTATCCACCTCTAAACGAGGTCACCAAAGAAATTAATAAAAAAGATGCCACGGCATAGGGGTTAAGTTAGCAAACTCCACTTTGGTGGCCTGGGTTTGCAGGTTCAGACCCCAGCCATGGACCTACACCACCCATCAGCCATACTGTGGCGGTATCTCACATATAAAATAGGGGGAGACTGGCACAGATGTTAGCTCAGGGCTAATATTCCTCAAGCAAAAAAGGAGGAAGAGTGGCAATAGACGTTAGCTCAGGATGTATCTTCCTCAGGAAAAAAAAAATATGCCATGATGGAAGGTGTCACCTAACACTACTCCTACTCCTTTGAAGCAATGATTTCCTTTCTGTTGTACATCTCTGATCACTCCCCCACCAACTATTTATACATCCTTTCAGTACTCAAAAAGTCCATATAAATTTTTATAAAATTGAAATAAGCTATCTCAGCAAATATATTGAAATTTCTCTCGGCTTTATGTATTTTGACTTAGTCTGGCTCTCTGATGCCTCTAACAAAAACCCCAAACACAATCACCTTGTAAAAAACAATAATAAAATCAACCCTACATTATCCATACTAAAAAGAGTACAACAGCAAGGCATACTCCAAAAATAATTTAGAAAGAATTTCTGAATGTCTATTTTTGGCAGCAGATTCACTTTTCTAATTATGTCTTCACTTAAGTGGACATTGTTAAGCATACACCAGCTGTGGGAAGAGAAAGGAGGAGTCCAAGTGAATACAAATCACAAAAGGAAGGCAAGCTAGGATAAAACACTGACTGCTCATGATCTGCATAAGAACTCACAGGAACAGGCACCTAGCAAATAACGCCTACCTTTAATCTACTCACTTTTAGTTGCAAATTAATTCCTAAACATTCCAAAATAAACAAAAAACCCCAAAAAATCAGTATTTAAATATCACAACTTGAAACTCTGAAGATGAAGGGTATAATCAACTCATTGGTTTAAAGCAACATTTAAGAAGGAATCATGGACTCATTTGAAATCAGATGAAAGATGCAATCAATTTTGCATACATACAACCTGGTTGGGGAGTGAGAGGTGATCCTGGATTCACAAAAATACATCTAGGCATCATCCCAGAAAGGTAAAAATAACAGGCTTAAAAGGTTCCAAAGAAATTCAGTCATAGGCAAACTTAATATATATATATACGATGGTTAAACATCAAGGCTTGTAGCAAGCAAGCAAGGCTTGTTCTACCATACTGTTTCCCATCTGCATGAAATCCCTATCGTCCTTACCATATTGTCCCAAATTTTTCCAGAGCCTCCACAAGGTCTGCTTCCACCACAGATTCACAGAGTCCTCGAACGTGGACAACTGGCGAAACAGAAACTTTATGATGACTTCCACCTGCCTCCTAGCAAGAAAAAATAATGTCTAGGTAAAAACTTTAAAAGTCTAAATTGCATCTTTTAGTAAATTCAACTCTACATTAAAAAGCAAACATTAAAATACAAATCCCAAACCAAATTGCAATTCACGAGTTAGCAAAGGGACTTAAGAGTAAAATCATCAATTAAATGTTTGGCACGAAAATTCTGAGTTCTTAAAAGGGAGCATTCACTCTCAATAAGAAGTACAAATAAGTTATTTAATAACCAATTTCAACTTCAAGGAAATCTCAGAAAAAATTTCGGCAGATACACAGAGCATGCTACGATTGGAAATATATTTTATACTCACAATTACATAGTTTCACCCCATAAAATCAAAATCTTAAGTAGTCCAAATGAACAAAAAGTCCCAATTTCAAATTATTCTTTAATATAAAGATTATATACTTTATTTTTCCTGTGATGTAGATTTATATCGCTTTTGTCCCTGATTAATCGGTTATCTAGTCCCACTATAACTTGAATTTATTCAATTAGCAGTACACTTGACAACTTAAATTTCTACAAGGCACCATCTTTGCCAATGAACAAGGAGTACTCAAAAACACAAGGCTTCCTAGGCTTCTACGGAGTACTGTTTATCTTTGAGTATGCCCAACAGGAAGTTTTAAAATATAAATATATGGTCTTAAAGTTTATTTTAAAAGGGACTACAGGTTTTTTTCGGGATTTTTTTTTTTGAGGAAGATTAGCCCTGAGCTTACTACTGCCAGTCCTCCTCTTTTTTGCTGAGGAAGACTGGCCCTGAGCTAACATCCATGCCCATCTTCCTCTACTTTCTATGTGGGATGCCTACCACAGCATGCCAAGCGGTGCCATGTCCGCACCCAGGATCCAAACTGGCAAACCCCAGGCCACTGAGAAGCGGAACGTGCGCACTTAACCACTGCACCCCCGGGGCAGCCCCGGGACTACGTTTGAAGATGAAAACACTTCTCTCATTTACTTATTCAAGTTCTATTAAGACAAAGATCTATATTTACAATTAGCCACTGGGCAACTCCCTTGCATCACTTCAGAAATGACTTCCGTGTACAATTCACATATATATGTTTTTTAAATCCAGGGACCAGTCCCTCGGTCGAGTGGTTAAGTTCACGAGCTTTGCTTCAGTGGCCCAGGGTTTCGCCAATTTGAATCCTGGGCACGGACATGGCACCACTCATCAGGCCATGCTGAGGCGGTGTCCCACATGCCACAACTAGAAGGATCCACAACTACATTACCAGGGGGCTTTGGGGAGAAAAAAGAAAAAAAGAAAAAAATCCATTACATGAAAGGTTTTTTTTCCTCCTACAAACAGACTAATCTAAAAGCACTAATGTTTTATTATTAAAATTTAAGAATCCGGGGCTGGCCCCGTGGCCAAGGGTTAAGTTGGCGCACTGTGCTTCAGTGGCCCAGGGTTTCGCTGGTTCAGATCCTGGGTGCGGACATGCCACCACTCATCAAGCCATGCTGAGGCGGCATCCCACATGTGACAACTAGAAGGACCCACAACTAAAAATATACAACTATGTACCAGGGGGTGGGGAGAAAAAGGAAAAATGAAATCTTAAAACATAAAATAAATTTTAAAAAAGTTGTTTAAAAAAACCAAAAACTTCAGAATCATTTTGTGGCCAGCCCAGAGGCATAGTGGTTAAGTTCACGCACTCCACTTCAGCACCCCAGGGTTCACAGGTTCAGATCCTGGGCACAGACCTACACACTGTTCATCAAGCCATGCTGTGGCAGCATCCCACAGACAAAAAAAAAAAACATAAAGATTGGCACAGATGTTAGCTCAGTGACACTCTTCCTCAAGCAAAAAGAAACTGGCAACAGATGTTAGCTCAGGGACAATCTTTCTCACCAAAAAAAAAAAAAACCAAACAACTTAAGAATCGTTTTAAGAAAATTAAATCCCTTTTTCATGGCTATTTTTTAAAAACTCACCAATTTTTCTTTATTATAAAGACTATTAGAAAAATATAAGTCTTGTACCCTGCCAATAAAAAATTATGTCAGAGTTTAAAGAAAAGAAGTGATTTAACATAAAAAGTAACCAGGGGACTACTCTTCCACTACTGTCGAATCCAAGAAATAATTCAGTCCTTTGCAAATATTAATTCAATCCTTGAGATTTCATTTGAATTGTTTATGCTGAGTCTTTTCTATGGTTAAATTGATACTCATTATGTGCTACTAAGTTTAAAACAAATCATTCTGATTGTACCCTATGTAAACCAACACTCACTCTATTAGACACCTTAACAAATGAGACTCTTTGCCTGGGTGAAACTCAACAACTAAATATGTATTAGCATCATTAAGCTCTTAAACGTAACTGGACGACAATGACGCAGGAAAAGAGCTCTAAATAATGCCTAAAAACCTAATTTAGAGCCTACCTTTAAAGTATAAATAATAAGTTTTACATTAAAAATAATTAGACAAAAATAAACTGCAAGAAATGACAGTTGTCTCGGTTGATCCTTAGAAATCATTTGGCAAAGGTAAAAGTGCAAAAGAAAACTAGATTGGCCTGGACTCTTGAAAAAGTATCAAAAAATAGTGGAAGGAAGATTTCAGATTCGGACTAAAGAGAGACAACAACCAAATGCAATACGTGAGTCTTCATTTTACAATAGATAAAAAATGCTTTTATAAGACATTTTAGGGACAATTAAAGAAATTTAAATACAGATAGGATATTAGATTATATAATGGAATTATTTACTGTCTTAGAAAAGAATGTCCTTATTCTTAGGAAAGCTGGGATATTTAGTGATGAATTGTTACGTGATGTCTACAACTCACTTTCAAATAGTTTAGGGAAAAAAGAATGTATACAAATATAGATATACACATATAGAGATAAACTCCCAAATGGCAAAATGTGAAAAACTAATGAATCCAGGTGAAGGACATACATATTTGAACATTTTACATAATAAAAAGTTGGGAAATTATTTTATTATATAATTAAGACCTGCAAAAAGATATGAAAAACAATATAAAAAATATTCATTAATTCACCACCCAGTTTAATAAACAAAACACTATCAGTTGAAGACATTTCTTCCTCCTACCTCCCTTCCCATCATGGATAACCACCATCTTGAATATACTGCTGAAAGACATGACTATTTTTCAAATTGGTCTTCTCATTAAAAAATGGATCACAGGACCAATTTAAAAATCCCCCAAAAGATCTGACTTTAACATGTTATTAGTTAATCATATTTCCTAAATGGAAAAGATGGAGACTTAAGTCATTCTTTAAAAGCTGGAAGATGTTTAATGCAATCAATGTGGTATTTGGGAGAACATATAACTATCTTAACCTCAAGGCTGAAAACATATCCCATACCCATATTTCCCTGCCATTCATGAGTTTATCTACCTTGATATTTCTCTATCTTTAAATTATGTCCCTTTTTCTTGAACTTAAAAATTTCTCATCCTTTCTCTATTTTATTTAAAAAACAACCACCTAGGGTTGTTTCCAAATATAAAACTGATATATTAAAGATATCTGTTCAAACCATATTTTCACCACCTGATTCCCCCCCCCCCCCCCAAATACTACTGCTTTTCTTAAATCAATATTTTCTTATCTCTACCTATACTATATACTGGTGACATGAAATCTGAAATCACTGGTAGAGCTTCTTTTACCTACCCTAAAATTACCTCTTCTAAGCATCATATTATGCATCTGATTTCTAAATTAGTGAACAAATCAGTGTTGTTTACCCTCTCCATATATTAATACTTTCATCATCTCTTCTCCAGCTTAATAATTTTCTTTTTTTAATCCTTTCTCATACAGAAGCCCAAATGCTTTCCATTTCAAACGTTCAGTTAGCTAGCCTCTCTCCTGGTCTACTTATCAGAAGACTAGAAACAATATTCCAAGTGAGTACCTAGCAAATGAACTCATGCCTGCAATTTATGTTCACTTTTTCTTTTTTAATTACTCAATCCCTTCTTCATGTAAACTGGGTCAACTATAATGAAGGCAATATTAGTCCCTATTGCAGGCTACAGACCAGTTCCGTCATAACTGTTCTAAACTCCCAGCCCCTCAAAGGCTTTCTCAAGGACAAACTCTAAGAATACCAATCTTAAGTACTAATTTTGACTATTGCAGATTGAAGACCTGGCTCTACTGAAAAGGAAGTTAGTTCAGCAGAACATAAATGCAGCTTCTCTTCGAGGACTGAGAAGTCCCATTAACATCTCTACATATAGTAAAGCAACAATTTAACTGAAAACTCACAAAGGGTAGGCACAATGTCCTTAGGCTTTTTTGTTTTCCCAAGGTCTCCATGGACATGTGCTCAACAGTCACTGAACGACCTTTTCTGCCCTCCTATAATTATGGGATTAAAAAAGACGAGCTTCAAATTCAGTAATTCATCCAACACCAAACACACACAGACCCTCTGCCAACTGATTATCTAGCCTCTCCTCAAATACCTCCAATGACAGGAAACATACTACTTCATCAGACAATCCATTATATTTTTAGAAAATTCTTCACAATATGCACCCAAATGTGTCTCCCTGTAGTTTCCTATCCAAAACAGCCTTTGAAATCAGACCAGCTTTTGAATCTTTGGACATTTACTGGCTCAGTGATAACTACTTAACCTTTCTGAGCCTCAGTCTCACTATTAAAAAAAAAGAAGAAAAAAACCAAAATCCTTATCATGTAAGATTACAATAAAAAAAGGGAACAACAAATATTAAATGTGTAGCACAGCGCTAGATGTAGTTATTGAACAAGGGTTCAATAAATGTTAGTTGGCACTCCCTACCTTTATCTACCTTTCCCTCTTCTTCATGATAACCGTCCAGTTATTTGTAACGATTTCTTAAATCACACCTAACTTTACCCTTCAGGCTAAATATCGCCCAGATTCTTCTGTCATTCCTCAGACGGTGTGATTTCAAGTGCCCTCCTCTGGTAATCTTTCTCTGGATACATTAGAATTTATGAACGTAGTACCAAGAAATGAATACAGTATTTCCAGATATTTAAGATTATCCTCTCTTTTATTTTGGATACTTGATATAAACCAAGAACAAAGTAGTTTAAGGGGAAGCTGCAAATATTTTTTAACTCACACTATGCTTAGAATTAACTACCTATTTTCTCTTACTAACTTAACCAGTCACTATTTCTTTACTTGGTCTCTTTCTTTTTTTAAAGAAATAATACACCAGATCCAAAATACGGGAAACCCCTTAATTTTCCTATCCAAAGTTTTTAGGTACATTTGATCACATTACAGAGCAAAGATTAAAAATAGCCATGTGATTCAAATAACTTTTTAAAAAATAATCTTTATTTTTTTGCTCATGTAGTAGAAATCTTTTGGTTTTGCCTACCCGGAACCCCTTCCTCCTCCTCCTGGTTAAACACACACACACATATACACAAAAGAAAGCAAGATAAAGAAAAACTCCTCAACTCCATATTATTCCCTTGGTATTTTCAATCACATAGTCATTTCTCCCCAACTTCAGAGGAAGCCCAGTGATCAGCTGGTGGGAGGGGGAGATAACAATGGTTGATGAGAGGGGATAAATATGGTAAATCACTGGGGGAAAGAAAGTGTTCTCTTTATTTGCTAGCTATAAGAATGTAAGCCTAGCTTTATCACCACATAAAGGAAACAGAGCTGAAACATGGAAAGAGACAGAATCAAGTGCCTGTGACATAATCTAAATCCCTGAATCCAGCCATGCCTGAAACTAGTGCCACAACTTTGCTTTCCCAGTTATATGGGGCAATTAATTCCCTACCCCTGCCCACTTTTTGTTTTGTTTAGGTTCATCTGAGTTGTTGCTATGGCTGCAACTACAAGCTTCGAAAGTTGTATTCAACCTCGTAGAGTGAAAAAAAAAAAGGAATAAATGACACATAATCAAAGATTTTTAGATATGTAATTTTTTTTACTATTATAGCCCCATCACTAAGAACAGCACCTAGCACATGGTAGGGGCTCAAGTATTATTTTTTAATGAGTTAAGAGATCACAGCAATCATCTAATCCAACCATCTCATGTGATAGGCAGCAAGTTGAGTTCCAGAGAGGTTAAGTCACAAAGCATGTTAGCAGGAGAGCCAAGATACCTGCCTTGGTTGGACTTATGGCTCTACTGACAGCTCTTTTCACTACACGTACTAACATGAAGAAACATAGTCACTTGTTAAAACCAAAAGATAGGTAAACCTACTACTTTTCATTTCTTTCCCAAAACAAGGCCTGAAAATCCTCACTCTACTGTACCAGCTTAGCTAAAGGAGACATAGGATATTACTGCTATAAAAGCCTCAAGGCTCTGGCACTTACCTCCAGGGCACGCATCCTTGAACTTTTTTATTCCCCAGAGTGTAGTTACTATACTCACTGTCACGGTCTCTAAACATTTCCTGTGGGAGCTAAACTAACAAAGTGACCTCATCCCATCTTCCATCCCATACTCATCCAATAAGCCATCATAATATTCCTATCATCTCTGTAATTTAGACCATTGAAGTACAATAGTGTATCTTAAATTCAAACTACATTCTTTTTTTTTTTTTTAAAGATTTTATTTTTCCTTTTTCTCCCAAAGCCCCCCCCCAGTACAGAGTTGTGTATTTTTAGTTGTGGGTGCTTCTAGTTGTGGCATGTGGGACGCCGCCTCAGCATGGCTTGACAAGTGGTGCCATCTCCGCGCCCAGGATTCTAACTGGTGAAACCCTGGGCCGCCAAAGCAGAGGGCGAGAACTTAACCACTCAGCCACAGGGCCAGTCCCTAAACTACATTTTCTACATAATGTATATTCTTTTGTTTGGAAATCCTAGGATCTCCTTTTTTATCTTGGCATTTGCCATCTTACAAGTCTATTTATTAAAAGTCGAGAAACCTAAATTTTCACCTCATCAGCAAACAAACCAGTTTAACAATCTTTGATCTGCCTGTTTCTCACTAGCAGAATAGAGTAAAAGAAAGACTTGAAAGTCTCCGAAATGAATTAGCACCCCATAAATTTTTATTGATATCAGTCTTTTTAAAAGCAGATTTTTTTCTAGGTAACCTTCCAATTCAATTTCTCAATTGGTTTTGCCAAGTGAAACCCTAATATTTTGAAGTTGAGCTGTTTTCTTAAAAGCAGATACAGAAATTTACTATTATATGATCTTGAAGGTCATGCCTGCTAAATTTAAAGAGCATCATTTACTCCATAAGAATAAAGTAACTGTATAACACACAGCACCAACCTCCATAATCAAGGTTTGTTCAACAATGCAGACCAATGAAACTGAAACACTGCAACTTTTTGCTTTTCAAAATAAGTGCCAGGAGATACAAATTTGAAGAGTGTTTTATTTCTCATACCCAAACACTAACTCATTTCTCTTTACACCTTAAAAACAATATGATCATTCACATGATTGATTCATCTTTAAATTAGGAGTATTTATAGAAACACTTTTTCTTAAATACTTTCCTCTTTAAATCCAGTTAATATATTATTAAAGCACTCATGAAAGCTTAATTATGAAAAGCCAAACAATGTAAATCTTTGAAGTCTCACTTTACACTTTACTAACTTCCAACTAGACTTGGAAAGATCGCCCATCATTGTACCTAATTTGCATTTACTTTTAACAGTTTGACCCAAACGTTTTGCTTCCCTGACTGGGCTGAAGGACCACAAGGTTGAGCCAAACCCTTTTCAGTTACTTGAATAACCATATTTCTGGATGATGATGCACTAGACAGTAAACTATCCAGGGAATTCCTATCCTAATAGAATTTTATTATGCACGGGTTTCCATAGTTGCAATGATTTCAAAATACTACCAAAACTTACAGGAAGAAAAATGTTTAAAAACAGGATAAATAAGCCTTTATTAGATTTTTGCCATGCAATATTGGTTCTGTTGTTAATTAAAGCAATTCACCCTCTGAGAAACATAACAGCAGTAAAATAAACAAAAATTAAAATTTGTAACTCAATCTATATATATATTAGTTCCTGCCTGGGTAATTTAAAAGCTGCATTACATTAATCACTGAACTACAACTTCCGGTATGGAAGGCATGCAGCTCAACTTTCACATTTTACAGACTAAGAGAACTCACAGTAAGTTGTTAAGTGACTTTCCCAAGGTCATACAGATTGTATGCTAGCTAAGACTCCTGACTCTTCCCCAAGCCCTGGCCCAGTGCTATTTCCACTGCTCCATACAATACACTTTTGATATATTAATTACATTATTTCTTCCCAACATCCAAAATAATACTACTGGCCTAATGTTTAACGTCTTCAAAAGAAATTTTTATGAACTAAAGTATTTTTTTAACACACTTAATGGAAGACATTTCATGCTGCTGCAGGAAAACTCAAGCAAGACTTTTGGCAAAAGAAATACACTGATCCCATACATCTAAATATCAGTTATAATATTCCTGTTTCCAATTTCCACAATGGAGTTGGCTTTGAACTGAAACTTCCTAAGAGAAATGCACTTCCCTTTTTCACACTTCCAAGTTACATTCTGAATATTCCAAATAGCCAGACACTAAGATCAAAAGTATTATCTAACCGTGAGGAAACGAGTTTATTTAGCGGAAGAACAAGTTCCTTTTCAAATGTGTTGCAACCTGATCTGTCACAGTATAGTATTTGAAAACTCGAACGCTGGGGACTACTGACCAGAATCTTTTACATAAAAATGCAAACAAGAGCTAAAAGGCTTGCCTCTTAATAAAGATGAGAAACATTTTAATCTAATAATAGAATACATGTGTACGATTTCGGGTAAAGCTTTCTTTAAAAAAAATCACAAAATGTGTTAAATGTTTAAAGAACGTCTAAGTCATTAAGACAGCTTAAGTGCACCAAAAAAGGGCAAAAACGTCTGCTTTCCTTAAAGTCTCCATCTAACTGAAGCTGAGTTACTACTTGCTGTGGACAAAACGACTTTCACATTCCTTCTGCCTCCAGCTAACATATTTGATGAAACAAGAATCTAGGAACGTGTGTTTAATGCAGTCCTGAGTTCCGTTCCTCTTTTCGCGGTGCAAATGTGGAACAAACTGTCAATGAACAACGGAGGGAACTTTAAGGTTTGTTTTACCTGGGAGCAGGAGTGTGCTAACACTTACTAACATGGTTTTTTTCTAACCGAAGAGCTAAAAACTGTCCTGAGCCATAATCACGAAACTGGGTAGCAAAGCATGCACGCCATGCCTGCCGAGACGAAAAACATTTTTAATTAAACCTTCAGGGGAACTAGGGGGGGAAGCCCCGGGCGTAATCTGTCATTCAGCCCCGGCTCTCCTCAGGACCCGGGCGGAGAGAGCCCCGGGCGGAACCGACGCCACCAGCCCGCGATCGCGCCCTGCGCGTGGATGCCGCGGGCAGCGGGACTCGAGGGTCGGCCCGACGCCGGCCGGCGGCCGCAGGACTTCACTAACAAAGAGCGACTCGCGCACCGCAGCCCGGCAGAGAGGAAGCAACGCCTCCCCGCCGCTCCCGCCCAGAGACCCTCCCCAAGTTCAGGGCCGGCAGCCGACTCGCGGCGGGGCCTGCGGCCAGGCCGGGGCCGGATTCGCGGGCGGGATGCGGGGAACAGGTAGGGCGAAGATTAAAAGCCCCGAAAAGAAGAGCCGGCGCTTCCCGACCGGGTCAGCGCGGCGGGAAAGGGAAAGGAGGCGGGCGGGAGGCCCCTGGGCCGAGTCCCGCCGCCGGGCCCTGCTTCCCGGGGAGCCGCCAGGCACGGCGGCCGGGGCGCCGCGCTTTGTTACCGGCTGCGAGAAGGTCCGGCCGCCGCCGCCGCCGCCATCGCCCCCGCCCCGGGGCGTCGCTTCCCGGCGGTTCTCGCCTTCCTCGGCCGAGTAGTCGATCTCCCCTTCCTCAGTCTTGAGGCGCTTGGCCTGGCTCTCGTACTCCCGGTCCTCCTCGTACGTCTCCCTGGGGGAGGATGAGGAGGAGGACATGGCGGCGGCCAGAGGGACCAGCGAGCAGGCGGGTGGGGGTGGCGGCGCGGCGCGGGCCTCGGACGCCGCGGGCCAGTCCCCGCCGCGGGCAGTGCCTCTTCAGCAAACGTCTGCCGGCCGGCCGGCCGGTCCGCTGGGGTGGCGCGCCTAGGAGCCGGTGAGTGCGGAGGGCGGGCGGGATGAGGGGGGCGCCCCAGGAGGAGGCTCCGGAGCGGCCGCTCCCTTTATCACGGAGCCAACATTCAGCCTCTCCCTCCTCCGTCTCCGTTGCCAGCCCAGGAGAGCGAATGTAAGGATGGGGACGCGACCGTGGCTTCCGGTCTTCCCTCCTCCCCTAATCCACTCCCTGTCGCCCGGGCGAGCCTCCGCCCCCGCCTTCTCCGCCGCCGCGCAGGATCGAATCCAGCCGCAGCCCCCGGGAAGCGCCCCCCCAGCCTGGGCCTCGCTCCCTATTGGCAGGGAGAAAAGTCGACCAGGCTTTCAATTGGCTGTAACGGCTGTTCGTCAAAAGCCGCCCACGGCCCGGCCTAGCCCCCAGCCCTGCGCCTTCGGAACTCGCCGCTGGCCTGTGAGTCCCGGCCGCGCAACGCCCGTCGCGAGCCGCCGAAGGGCCGTTGCTAGCCCGCGGCGGTTAGCGCTGTTAGGCTACTCCGAGGCGGGGCGCCGAGGGAGGCCGGGCGGGCGATGAGGCGTGCACTGGGCCGGGGCTGCGGGTGTTAACCGCCCTCCCGCTAATTTAAATGCTTTTCTTACTTCTCTTCAAAAGAGGAGGAGAAAAACCTCTAAAATCCCTGCAGGTACACCTCACACAACCCTAAAACTGCAGGGAGTGAGGGGAAAAGGGGTTTGCCACCGTGAAAGGAGACTTCTCTCCCTGTAGTGTGCAAAATCTGGTAGAAGTGCGTGGACTCTCACCCTGCCCCTAACTAGATATTCGAGAACAGCAGTGAACATTTACTGAATGCAGCAAGGTGCAAGTCTGAAGAAGACGCTCCACACGGGCGAATGCTAGATCAGTTAGCGCTCATTTCTCATCTGGACCCTTCTTTTCTGACAATTATAGGGGACTTGTCTATGTAAGTCCCTGTTCCAGTTAAATGTGTTTTAAACCTTCCGTATAAAAATCTCATCCTTCATCCCAACCCTTTCTCTTCTGGACAATCTATTTCACATCATTTGTTTTTGAAAGATACGAAAGCCTTATCGAAATTCTGTTTGTCCTTCGGACCACTGCTCACTTCCTCTGTGGAGCCCTGAGGACTCTTCCAAGTTTTATCGCTACTGTCTTTTTTGCAGCAGGGCCCTTGCCTACCTCTTAGGATGTCCTGTTTTAAAGACTAGGAGCACTTGAAGACAGGAACTGTGTGTGCCCTTTTCATCTTTGCAAAACCAGTTCGTGTTCAGTCCCCGGCACTATTTAGGTGCTCAGCAATGCTGAATGAGTGGTCCTTGGGAAATAAAGGTCCAGTATATCTTTCAGGAGAGAAACTGGTAAATCTAACCGCAACCTAACTGCCCTCTATGACTTAATCCTTGGAGGATTGCCTAGGATCGAGTCCTTTAAGTGTTTCCGTTGTCCTCACCCCTCAAATGCTTCCTTAAATGTGGCTCTTCCTTTCTTAACAGTGTGGTTTGTTTCCTCCCCCAGCCTACTTCTCTTTCCTTTCCAAAGCTATTTCCTCCAGAAAAGCCATTTTTATTTATTACTGACAATGCTTTAACATACATTGTTTTGTACTTTATAATTTATACTGCGTGTCATTTTGAAATTCAGTTGCAAACTTCTTCGCAACACCATACAGCTATAATCAAATCTGGGTGTGGCTGCAGATGTACACTGACAAAATAGAACTAAAAATCAATTAGAAATTTATTGTTTAAATTAAGATAAAATGGAAATGGACTGAAGAAATATCAGAGACGGAGCTCAGAGCTGGCTACAGATGAGGAAAAGCGTTAGAAAGAATGAGAGGAGCTGGAAGGCCTTAGAAACCTCTCCAAATATTTAGTGTAATGGTGAAAGTATTTTGAATTTTCGAAGCCTACATCCAACCTATGAATTATACCAGGTTAAAATGCAACTCTCACGCCAGTCGGTAAGGAAACCCAGCGTTGTGGAACCTTGCTGTTGTACTCAGCATTTACTTCACAAACAGTAGGTAGAAGTCAATATGTACCAGTTATTAAACTTAATTCTTTTTTCGAATAGCTCAAATCAAACTGTTAAGTAGAAAAACTGAAGAAATAAAACTTAAGAAGCATGTTTAAAGGACATAGGTCAGGACGTTGACCATGAGTGACCTTTGAGCTTGTTGCAGATGAGTTGTTCAGACAGTGACAGTGACAGTAGGTTCTTTGATTTGGAAAATGCTAACTAGCTCATGACTATACCAGGAGAAGAGCTAAAGAAGAAGGGCATAAATTATATTCTGCATGATTTAACTTAGATGAGATAAAGAAATTACCCACTGCCTGGTAGCCAGAAATGCCTAAGAAACTCAAAAACAGCTTCTAAATGCCGTGAAAATAATAAATCAGTTATTTAATTCAATCTGGAATTTCTTTTGCACTACATATAGCCTCAGGCCTTTGGCCAGTTGTCTGAGTGCTTGATTGGATTGGCTCCTGTTGATGGGTAGACAGCAGCCATGAGCTCCCATTGCCACAACTCAAAGGGGATTTGGCATACTAGAGTAGGAGACAGGTGCAGGGCAGGCCTGGGGAAACTGAGAGTCAAGGTCCTTTATAATCTAGCCCCAAATTGCCATTTAGTTTTAAATCTCATTGCTGACCTATGTAATTTATAAGACATTGTGCTAGGTGACGTAGGGAGTAGAAAACTATATGAGCTGGTCCCTGCATTCTCAAGCTGACAGTCAAGTTGAGGAAACAAAGTCCATACCCAAGAGATTGGCTACGAGGCACATATGATATACATGTAGTAATAACAACAGCCACTTATAATGTGCCAGGCACTGTGCTAACCACTGCAAGTGTCATGTCAATAAATTCTAACAGAAACCCTCTAACAGAGGCGTTATTACTATACTATGCCCATTGTACAATTAGAGAAACAGTCTAGAAGAGGTTGACAGTAAGCTAGAGAGCCAGAATTGGAACCGAAGCAATGTGATTCCAAATCTCATACTCTTCAGCACGAAGAATGGTAATTTAATTATTGTGTTATTTACTGCCATGAGCATATAGATCAAATTTACAGTCACTTACCATAATACTAATTTATTCTGTAATCTCTACCAGGGGTTATACAGTAGAAATTCTGGGAAGGGATGAATAGATTATAGTTTTCACCATTTTCATTGTTATAAGGAAATTCACTTAGCTTTCATAGGAAATTACAAATATAATGAATGTTTTCATGTTCATTTTAAAATTTCATTTCTATAGAAAAGGCCCAGAAATCATGAGAAAAGTGTCACTTTTCTGATGGATGCATGATTTGAACAACTAGAGATGCAAATTATAAGCTTTTCATACCCAAACTCAATTTCCAATATTGCTGCTATTTCACTGAATATACAAAACTTTTGTTTCCTGCTTCAGCTCCTGCAAAAAATAAAATTAAACCTTTGTGCACACCTTACTTGTGAGCCACATTTCTAAAGAATTGGAACTGTAGGAGTATATTTTAATGGAGACATATTTAACATCAAATCCAGCTTGGACCAAAGTCCAGGCAGAGAAAAATCAATTCGTTCCTGTGAAACTTTGTCCAATCCAGAGTATACTACTTGTGATGATACCCCTTTCTTGTTTGACAGAGATCACCAAAAAAGAGCCCTGTGGTGCTCTTACCCAAACTAGCTCCTTTGATTCCATCCACATTTGGTTAATTATGGTGAAAAGAAACCGCCAACACTGTTCCAAGAGGATGCGCCCTGCAGGAAGTGCCTCGAGCACTATTAGCTCACTGTGCAGTCAAGTGTAACCACAGTGGTATTCTCTTTCAGATACTGTCTTCATGCACATCCGCTTTGGGGGCTAGAACTGCACCATGTTTGGCCTCTTTAAGAAAATTAAAATAATTTGTAATAAGCCTACAAAAATAAAGTGGATTGACCTTAGAAGGACTGGCTCATATACCAGATAATGACAGGTAAAATTCAGATTCTAGTTATCAGTTACAGCTACTTACCCTTAGTTTTAGAAATAGTATTTAAATTATTTTCACTTTTCTCTCTGACACATGTGAATTGATAGTGTTTTAGACATCTTTAAACATACTTCTAATAAATAAAAGAGTAAAATCATAGCATTTCTGTCCACAATTGAGAGTAAATTGAATTTATCAAAGTAAATTAATCTTGCATATGAAAATATAGATAAAACAAAATTAACAAGTAGTTGCTCCCCTTTGAGCTCTCAATTCTTCTTTTCTGTCTTTTTTAATTTGAGCAAAATAAAAATATCTTGGAAACAGCCCACCTCATCCCATCAAGGAGGCTTCCTTGGTAAGCAAGTTATGAATTCACTCATTCATCTCTCCTGATCTTTGATGCTGAGACCACTATAAAAATGACAAGGAATGCTAAAGACAACACATAAACTAGCTGTTTTAGACCTTGGTTTTTTGGGCTTTGCTGTCTTCGGCTTTCTTGGCCCAGCAACATCTTTGCATTCTGAGTATGTTAGGGGACAATAGAATCAAATAGAACAGACTATAAACGGAATTGTATAATTGTTTCTCTTGTTTCTATTTACTTTCCCAAACCATAGCAGTGTTTTCCCCACCCTCCACTTCTAAGACCGGAAAATAATAGGCCACCTTTATTTTAAGACAGAAGAGCGTCAGCCCTGGTGGCCTAACAGTTAAGTTCAGCGTGCTCTGCTTCAGCAGCCTGGGTTAGGTTCTGGGTCATGGAGCTACACTGCTCTGTTAGTGGCCATGCTGTTCTGGTGGCCCACATACTAAAAGAAAAAGAGGAAGATTGGCACAGATGTTAGCTCAGGGTGAATCTTCCTCGGCAAAAAAAAAGAAGAAGAAAGTGTTTTGCCTATGCATCCTTCCTTTGGTAACCATAAGTCAGCTATTGGGTTTGACCGAGACCTGTGTGTCCAAAAAAGTGGCCATTAGTCACATATGGCTATTTACATTTAGATTAATTAGAATTAAATGAAACGTAAAATTCAGTTTCTGAGTCACACTAGCCATACTTTAAGTGATCAGTAGCCACATAAACAACTGGCTGCTGCTTTGGACAGTGCTGGACTGAACTGCAGCTTAGAGGTGAATGCATTTCATTCGTCTGTGTGTCTTTATCACCTACAACGTTGCCTAGTACACCATAGGCACTGACTAGACATTTGTTAGTCTGAATTAAGCTTCTCTTTCTCATAGCTCAAGAAAAAGAAGCACATAAAACAAAGCATGTAAATTTTGAAATTATTTCTATGCT